CTCCACCTACACCTGGGTTTCTGCACCCTGCAACCAGAGGGACACAAGCCCTTTGCTCCTTCTTGGGAAGATGCACTTTTCCTGACCTCCCTGTCTGCTCCAAGCAGGTCAGTCGGGGAAAGCAAGCCATCTGTCCTCGGCTCAACTTCTCTTCTTAGGGTGAGAGAAAAAGGCAGGGGTGGGGACAGGAGATGGCGAGCAACATCTAAAGGACCCTGCGCAATCTGGTGGGAGAATGAGCCAGAGGGTCGGTGTGGAGCACTGCCCTGGGATGGCAGTTGTGCCTGACAAGGTACCAACCGTGCTTGGAGGACATGCTTGCCCACACCTGCTGGAGCCCTGGGCATGCAGGCCAGGCTGACAGAGCCCAGTCTGCACGCCGGTCCTACCCACCACTCCCTGCCCCCGCAGCCTAGGGCTGCTTACTGGGCAGCATGGCCCCCCACCCTGGACACCGAGTGCAGCTCCTGGGATCTGCAAAGCGATACCCTCCCTCTGCTCCTGCCTGCCTGCTTGTGCTGAGGAAACCAGGGGCCGGGACTGAGCGGCCCTTCTGGGAAGCAGGACCACCCTTGCCTCCAGCCCTGTGGCTTTTCACTTTCAAAATGAATCAGGGAAAATTACCTCCTGGACAGGCTCACTGCTGTTCCAAGTTTCCAGATGGGTGCCAGAAGTTTGAAATATTATGTGAATGTGGAAATCAGTTGCAAATGTGAAAACTGACTACAACTTGCATCTTTCAAGTTTTACGCAAACCTATAGCTAATAATTTCAACTGGCAGCAGGTGAGAACGGAGGGGCTCCTTGCAGGTGAGGCTGGAGGTCTCACGCCAGGATCGATCCCCAACCAACAGAGCTGCCTCCGAGAGAAGTTTGATCAGACCCCAAACCCAAGCAAGAGCCCCCACCCTGACTGCCTGCACATAGTCAAGTTCTGGTGTGTGTGGTGTCGGAAAATGTCTCAAGGATGTTTGTTTTTTCCTCTCCTAAAATGTCTGCGTGTGCGGATTTGGGGGTCTGTAGAGAAAACCACTGTAGAAACCAGTGCCAGTCATTCCCCCCCTCACCGTCCACCCCTCTCCCAGCTCTGCCTTTTAAGGGGCCGGGACTATTGCCATCGCTACAGCCTCTGAAGCTCGGGGCAGCTGAGCACGGACCAGGAACGTGTGGCGATCTCTCGGCCCAGGCCACACTCGAGTTTGGGGCTGAAGAGGGCCATGTGTCACCCTCCAGGACAAGGCCAAGTACAGCCTCATAAGGAACACACACCCCTGCGCAGGTGGTGGGCCTGCCACGCGTCCTACAGCTTGCGTGCTGGGACGAGTTTAAAATTCAAGTAGTTCAAAGGTAACATCCAGAAAAGAAACATTTCACGACACATGGAATTAATGCCACTCAGATGTCATGGGCAGCTTTATCCGAACACAGCAAACCCATCTGCTTACAAGTCCAGGCTGCGGTCTCGTAAACAGCCACCTCCGGTGCTGCAATGGGCATCCCACGGCTCAAAAGGTGAAGGAGTTACTTCTGGGCCTTTTATAGAAGATATGTGCCCATCCCTGCCCCAAAACACTGAGTAACTCAGGACTGTTCGGTCTTGAGAACCAGCAGTCTCATGTCAGCCCAAGGCTGGAGTCGCCGCTGCAAAGAGTCTTGCTTCTGGCCCAGTTATGCCGAGCAAAACCCAAAAGCATGTTGTGTTTCAGGGTGTGCACGCACCTCACAGGGGGACAATGGACCAAGACAATCCCACTCATCAGCTGAAAGGCAAACCAATTTTGATACAGGAACAAAGCACCTGGGGACCTCAGCCCCACGCCAGGACTGAGTGCCAAAGTCAGAGTTCAAGTCCACATCAGGAAAGTAAAACAGGAAGGAGGAGATGCCAGAGGCCCCATTCCAAAGAGCTGGGGGCTGCTGACTACAGTCAGACCAGGATGATCGTCCTCACACTCCCCAGAGTCTACTCACCTGACCCAGAGAACTCGGCTCCAGCCAACGCAGCAGTTCCCAGGCTACCCGAGGATCACAGGAGAGACCCTAAGCCACACTACTCACCTGCTTCCCCTAGTCCAGCTTTCAGGAGCTATGCTGTGGCCACTCCTGGTATGTTCTCTACAAGACTCCAAAACATGGAGGCAGAGGCAGGCGACCCAAACCAGGGTACAGTAGGAGGAGAAGGAGTGAGTGCCCATAAAGAGAAGCGTGATAGGGATAAAGTTAGAGCCCCTGGAGAGGGGAGCACTGTAGAGTGCAGTTGGAGCACTCGGGGTGGGAGCAGTGGGGCGTGGGGTTACAGTACTCGGGGTGGAGAGAAGTGGGGATAGAGTTAGAGCACTTAGGGTGAGGGGCAGTTGTGGGAACCGTGGCAGGTGGTGGGGTACACCTGAGCTGGAGTTGGGCTTTAAGTTACTGCCGGTTTCAAAGGGTTTTGCACTTCTGTGTCTGCCATGGAGACGAGCAGTCAGTGCCACAGGTCGGGTTCGGTGCTGAGGCTCCGGGCACATTGGGTTTGGCTATGGATTTTGTGCCACTGGAAGGGTCTAAGGTGAACAAGTCTGGGGTCAAGTCAAGGTTAGTAAATACCATGAGACGATCCTGATGGACCTTTCTTCTCAACACGGTAATTCCGCAGAGAAACAGAGTGTAGTTTCTATCACTGAGGTGTTTATGGGAGAGAACGGCCCGGACAACGGCCCTCTAATAACGGCACCATGCCTTCAGTGCCACACACCTTCTCGCCCGCGGTCCCGGGCTGTAAGCATCCCAGCAACAGCAGACTCGCTCTGGGCAGACTCCTGTCACTGGCCGAAGTGTGTGCGGTCCCTGGGCCCCCGGGTGCCGAGCAGTGCCTGTCTTCAGGACAAGTGCATGCTGGCTGACCTCCCTAGCAGCACCCTCCAGCGACTCAGGACAGGGTCACAGAAGGGCAGGCTTGTTTCCCCTCTGCTCAGGGCTCTCTCCACAGACGGATATGGATCCTCACTGTGCTGGGAGCGCTTGGGAGCAACCGCTCATGCCAGTGCTAGAGAGGACAGGAGCACTTCTCACTGGCAAGGTCGAGCAGTACAGAGCGAATACGGCAGCTGGAGATGAGCAACAGAGTTCAGCACACTGAAAGAAGGGGCAGAAGGCCTAACCATGGGCCTGGAGAAGCTCTGTGCACACAGAAGGCAGGGTCCCGGCGGGCGGACTCAGAACTGGAAGGACCCTGCGAAGGCTATTTTCTGCGACTGCTCCTTCCTGTGTCTTCAAGAACAGGTCAGCCTCCAGAAGGCAAAGGGCTCCTGGAGGACTCCGCCAAACCTTGGAATGAGACCTTAGTGGAAACTGCCACACAACGCAAAGGTGGGCCCGACGAGCCAAGGGATGGGCGATTTCAGAGCGGACAGTGGCAGAGGACAGGATAGGAGGAGATGCAGCCACGGGCCCAGAATCCCTGGCCCCGCCCCCCTGAGCTGGGAGAGGCAGGAGGGAGCCCTGGAGCCTTCAGAGGGAACAGGGCCCTGTGACACCCTGCTGGCAGACTCCTGGTCTCCAGACCCAGGAGACGACACAGCCTGCTGTCCTGAGGCCCCTCATTTGTGGTCACTCATTAGCAGCCCCAGAAAACCAGCTGGGACTCAGAACGCCAGCACAGGGCCTGTGGAGGAGAACCAGAGAATAGGTGCCTCAAAGGGGCAGCTCGGCAAGGCCCAAGGGCAGCTGTGGGTGCACTGCCCTCGGGGACCCTACTCCACGGCAGTCCGGAGGGACCTGCTCTGCCAGGACAGGGGAAGGGGTCACCTACCTCTCCAACCTGCCCTGTCTGTCCTTCCCCAAGGGGCCCTCCCACTAAGACACTCAAAGCCAAGCAAAAGGCAGCAGAAATGCAGGTCTTCAAAATATATTCTAAAACTATGATTGCTCTTTTGTTTCTGGACAGAAATGGGGCATTTTAAGAAAAAAAAAATCAACAGTTCTTAAAATAGGTACAATATGTATTATCTTCACACTTGGCTACAGGTGAGCAGTGAAAAGAATACTCCCGGTGTTTGCAGGACAACCTCGAGACATACTGGACTTCAGGTAAAAGTCAGTCTGACCAACAAGAAACCGGCCTGTCAGAAAAAACCAGAACCTGCGACTAGGGAGGGGCACGTGCAGAGGAGCCTCAGAGGGGAGGCAGGCGTGGGCCTAACCATGGTCCTGGAGAAGTTCTGTGGACACAGAAGGCAGGGTCCCGGCGGGCGGACGCAGAAATCAGCACATTCTTTCACAGATTTACACTGCCCTTTTACCGCTAGCAAGAACAGAGAGAGAAGACAGTTCAGCCGGTGGGGACGCTGGCCATGCAAAGCAGCTACCGAGCCCTGGGTGCAGCCGGCCTTGCAGGAAGGGCCGTCCTGCTGCTGTGACCCTCTGAAGCGCTCAAGTATGAGTGGGGAGCCTGGGCCTGCCTAGAGCAGGGCAGAAGGAGCCGCGGCCTGCAGGGAGCAGGGGAGAAGGGAGCTGGAGCCTGCAGGAGGCAGAGGAGAAGGCAGCTGAAGCCTGCGGGGAGGGGGGCAGACGGGAGCTGGGGCCTGCAGGTTGTTGGGGGGGGCGTGGGAGAAGGATCTGGGGCCCAGGGAAGCAGGGGTGTAAGGAGCTGGGGCCCGTGGGAGGCAGCGGGGAGAAGGAACTGGGGCCCTCGAGAAGCAGGGGAGTACGGAGCTGGGACCTGCAGAAGGCAGGGGAGAAGGGAGCTGGGGCCTACGGGCTGTAGGGGAAGAAGGAACTGGGGCCACCATAGTGGGTGTGGGGCTGGGGGTGGCTTGCTGGATCTGCAGGCAGAACTCCCCTCCCCGGGGCCGCCTCCTTCCTGCGTGTGCTGTGCTCTGGGTCACATCACACAAGCCCTCCACCCTGAGGCAAGCCTGCACCTTCTGCCGCAGAGCCTCCGGCTACTAACGGGCCCCTGGGATGACTCCCGCGTGCACGTGCTGAGAACAAAGTACTCGGAGCCGTGACTGTCGTGAAAACCAGGCACGTCTTCGCTCTCCTGTGCTAGGTCAGTTTTTTGGCACGTCGGGTGTGCTTGTCGATGGTTACGGTGGTCCGGTCAACAGCCGCAGTGATGCCGTCCAGGGCCTCATCCTGCCTCTCCAGCTCTGTCTCCGTGTCCAGGGCGAGACTCTTCAGCTTCCTCAGGATCTGTAAGAGTAGCGCACAGGGCAGGAGGGGCTGCCATTTCTTAAACTCTCAACAACAGACGGTATCTCTGTCCATCCCTTTTACAGTACTTTGGAAATTGTGAGTTGGGGGGATGACAAACACTCTGTCCTCCCATTCTGGGTTTGGGTCTCGGCTCTGCAGCTCACCAGCACTGACCCCCAGGGTGGCACCAACCCCCAGGGTGGCACGGACCCCCCAGGGAGCGCTGACCCAGGATGGCACTGACCATCAGGGGGCACCGACCACCAGGGAGCTCTGGCCTCCAGGGCACACTGAACCCCAGAGAGCTCTGACCCCGGATGGCATTGCCCCAGGGAGCTCTGGCCCAGGATGGCACTGAACCCGAGGGAGCTCTGACCCCTCGGGAGCTCTGGCCCCCAGGATGCAGTGAGCCCCAGGGAGCTCTGACCCCTTGGGAGCTCTGGCCCCCAGGACGCATTGAACCCCCAGGGAGCTCTGGCCCAGGATGGCACTGAACCCGAGGGAGCTCTGACCCCTCGGGAGCTCTGGCCCCCAGGACGCACTGAACCCCAGGGAGCTCTGACCCTGGATGGCACCGACCCCCAGGGAGCTCTGGCCCCCAGGACACACTGAGCCCCAGGGCAGCAGAGCTGAAAGAAAGGTGAGGGGTCAGCCCTCTGGCCCTGCTCCAGGCCACAGCCCCCACGCCTCCTGACAAAGTCCCTGGGGCACTGCTCTTCCAGTCACACAGGAGCAGGGAGGGCTGGCCCAGGGTACAAGCACGACCCAGTCCTGGTCTTCATTACCTGTCTACATCCGTGTCCTGACTGCCGAATGGGATTTAAAAGGAAAAGCCAGCCCCGTTTCTTGCTGATCTGTAGAAAACCCCTCACTATACCTCCACACGGCTTGAGGGGAGGAAGCAGCTACCAAACACAGCCCTGGGGGCACTGTAAGAAGAGGGGCTACCCGTGGAACAGCAGGCCCCTCAGCCTTCTGGGGACTCACGTCACGCTGCAGGCGTCTCAGGCACTGCTGAGAACGGCCGCTTTCCTGCAAGCCCGTCGAGACCACTTGCACTGTGAAATGTGGTGAGCCTGCACTGAAAAATTTAATACCCTCAAGCTGACAACAAAAAGGAATGATTTTAAGAAGAATCGTAATGACCACCTACCTGCAGGTAAGTGTTACTACCTCTTGGAAGGAGAGTGTCAGGCCGCTGGCTGCGTTAGGATGAAGGACCTACAGACTGTCGGTCCTCTGAGGAGTCCTGGGTGCCATTTACCACCTTCCAAGGGATCTAGCGGGTACAGCTGCGCTCCAAGTCCGCTGCCCCACGGGGATGGGAGTTGGCAGCGAGGGCCCCAGACCTAACGCAGCCAGCAGCGCGCCACACACGGATGTCGTGGTCACGGCTCGGCCGGTGGCGCTGCAGCCTGGGGGCGGCCCAGGCCGAGGAGGGCATGTGGCACCTGGGGGCAGGGGGACGGCGTGGCCACAGTGCCCATGCGCTTCCATGAGGCGGCCTCGTGCCGCCCACCACCACGTGGAGCAGATCAGAGGCAGGGAGGTGGTTAGAGGCCAGTAAGGTCAAGCGGGGAGGCTGGAATGAGCTCACAAATGCGAACAAGCTGTGAAAACTACGAAGTGGGGCGTGAGGAGCCCCCGCCAAGTCCTGGAAGGCTCCGCGGCAGGGGCCCCGCTGCAGCCGTGCCGCGGAGGGCCTGAGGCTGCGTGCGGTCCGGTGCCCGGACGCGGACAGGCTAAGCCGCACCTCTGTGCGCACACGTGGCCTCATCCCTCAGAGCCCCGTCCGGGCGCAGGGGCACGTCCCTGACCCAGGCAACAGGCTCAGACGCCAAGCTCTGTGCCCTCTGGGAGCCGCTGAGTCACTGGAAAACCGGGACGTGGCTCCGGAAAGTACATTGTGGGGTCAGCCGGCTCCGAGGGATGGGCTGCATGACCTCATGTAGGAGGTCTTTTCCACCACGTTCCTATGACCTCATGTGGCCGAGGCCCAAACGGCACAGTAAACAGCTCAGCACCGTGGGAGGCAGGTCCTCCGTGCCGCTCTGCTCAACGACCCCTCCCCATCGGCCTGCAGGTCCCCGTGCACCAGGTATACGCACACCACAGCCCCGGGGAGGCTGGCTGTGGACACACGCTCACACCTGGCTTCACACCCACGAGCGGCCCCTGCCCTGCGTGGGTCCTTCAGGCCGCCCGTGCTGCTGACAACCTTTGTGTCCTCGTCAACCACAATGATGGTCCTTCGGGGCCAGCAGGCTCTGTGACCGGTCAGCACTGTCCTGCTCCCGGACTCACGCTGCAAGGAGGAGGTCAGGACACAGGACTAGAGAAGAAAGGAAACGTCCTGAACCCAGTCAGACAAGCAGTGCGAGTGGCACAGGGGCGTGACCCTGTCCACGCAGCTCCGTCTCCTGCTTCCTTGTCCCCACCTGTCCTGAATGAGGGTGAGGGCCGCGGGGCTCTCTGAACCCTCAAACGGACTGTTTCACACGCTGGGCTGAGAGGGTGTGCCCAAGACCCCACGCTCTGTCTGCAGCTGCCCACAGCACGGCCCAGATGCAAAGAGCCGGCACTTGCGTGTCCCCACATGAGGACGCAGACGTCACGGCACTGGCACTGACAGGAATAGCACAGGTCTCTTAACAAGGCAAAGTGACCTTCCCAGGGATCAGCAGCCATTCAGGCAGCCCTGGGAAGGTGGCCTGAGAGCCTGGTTTGCTCCTGGAGCTGAGAGCAGCTATGGCGAAGGTCCCATGTAAGAAGAGCCACACCTGTGACTTTAGATTCTCCAACGCTCACATTCTCAACGGTAAAAAAGAAGCATTTCTTAAAATTTTATTTCTTTAAGTAATCTCTACATCCTCACATGGGGCTCGAACTTACGACCCCAAGATTAGTCGGCTCTGATGGAGCCAATTGGTGCCCTGCAAAAATGAGAAACATGGCTGGTGTGACCCAATCGGATAAAAAGTCATCGTCTCCACACGAAAGCAACACACGGAACAAAACACAAGATCGGTCCTTTGCTGCTTGATGAATGCTGTGCTCTCTGCACATGTCCGCAGGGTTCCCCGGCTGAGGGCCCCACTCTGGGATGGCCCCGCTATCCCCCGCCCAGAGGAGAGCCACCATGGCCCGCAGGTAACCCACTCACGCACAGACACGCAGCAGTAACAGGCACTGCACTCCCTTTGTGAGCAAGACCAAGCAACTCTAACCTTTCATGGAGTCTAGGGCGTCCACACAGGGCTCCTCCCCGCCGACTGGTCCAACTGCCGCGCCGTCTCACCAGGACCCCCCTCCCCGTTCAACGGTCCAACCGCGATGCCATCTCATGGGGACCCCCAACCCTGTCGATTGGTCTGACCGCAGCGCCGTGTCATCGGGACCCCCTCCCTGTCCAACGGTCTGACCGCGACATCTCATCGGGACCCCCGACACCGTCGATCAGTCCGACCGCAACGCTGTCTCGCTGGGATCCCCCCTCCCTGTTCAACGGTCCGCCCAAGACGCTGTCTCATTGGAAACACCCCAGCAGCTGTGAATGCCTCACACTGCACCTGAAGTGACCTCACAGTGCAAAACCCCGAGGGACCTGCACGGCTCGTGAGTCTGCAGAGAGGACTGAGGAAGCTTCCAGCTAGGGTCCCTCTGGAGCACTGACTGGTCCGGCGCTTTTCCCTTTAAGGAAGAACATGGGTGGAAAGAATGGGGAACGCCAAGTCTGGCCGGACCGTCATGCAGCTGTGACTTCTGCGGCCCAGGATGACAAGCTGTCCAGTCATCAGTGTGTCAGGATGCCAGACTCTGAAGTATCAGCTGGCAGGAGGCTGTGTGCTTTCTTCTGGAGCCCCTGCCTCGCTAGAAGTGGGCCTGTGACTGGCCCTGTCTGCGGACACGTCTACCCCCACACAGCACATGCACAGAGCTGAGGGGGAAGCAGCCCTCCGTGCACACGTGCACAGGCAGACTCTGTCCTGCAGTAGCATCAGGAGAGAAACCGCAGACATGCTCAGTGATCTGGAGCCCGAGGGCCGCAGACGCTCCACCAGGTCTGCGCACGGGTGGGGTGTGTCCGAAACCAGAAGGCAGTGGGGACACGTGCATCTAGAGAGCCTGGGCTGGGAGCGGGACATGGTCCCCGGGACAGAGCACACACTCCTGTGGTCTCTGCTGCCCTGGCCACACACGGCATGACGGCCTCTACTTGCCAACAACAGACACAAGCAGACGCAGAGACGTCTCCATTGTGTGCGTACAGACGGGGGAACGGCTCCTCCAACCGAGGAGCTATGCTCACTGAGGCAAATGTGCTTAACCACATGTGTGCCCCTCAGGGAGGCCGTCCCGGTGTGGGCTTCGGGGAGCCCGAGGCCCTGGAGGGCCCCGCCTCGGGTGTCCACCACGTACCTGCAGCGGGGAGGGCACACAGAGTGTTCCCACGACCCTGTAGTGTGCTTGTGGCCTCACCCATGGTCTGAAGGAAGACGTTCTGCTCTACTTTGCGATGAGACTCCAGGACTCAGAGCACTCCTGTGTTCGCAAGAAGTACCTACAGTGAGTTTAGCATGAGCTAGGCTGTCTGCCCTCGTTTTGTTATGCAGCTGACTCACTGGAAAACTGTGAATTTTCTGACAGTGAGAAATTAGCAACCCTTTAAGAACAGAGCTGGGATAAATCAAGCTGTCTGCACGTCCAAACAGTTCTACCAGTTGGGGCCATTAGTGTGCCACAGGGAAGGCAGAGAGGGAAAAAGTGGCTTCCAGCACAGTCAGAGCTCTGGAGACTGTACAGAACATTCTAGGCTACGATCTGTCACATTCAGCACTCACAGACCACCCCCGCGTCCCACCCGTCCCTTCGGCTGCATTCCTGCAGGCCACAAGGGCCATCTGTGGACAACAGCACAGGCTTCCTTCCAGGGAGGCCCCTGCCGCGGCCCCTCCTCCACACCCCTCCGAGCAGCTGTAGGGGGAAGCGGACGCTCC